CTTCACCGCGCAGGTACGACGCGCGGGCGCCATTAAGGAATTTTGCGTTTCCTTACAAAAAATCGATCCGATTTTGTATGGATCGGACTTTCATATTATTTTTCTATTTTCCTTTTTATCCTTAACTGCTGAAGCTTGAATGAATGCCAAGAAGGTTTATCCGTTTATGATAGTGAAATTATAACTATCTTGTCAAACTCAACTCAACTCAACAAAATAAGCAAAGAACAAATTTTCAACGAGGAAAAAAAGGTTTTTATATAAAAATAAGTTTTAGGTTTAGAAGTAAGTAATTCAATGTCTTCCATCTCAACTTAACATCTCTGAAAATTGAATAATAAAAAGATTGGTTTATTGATTGATTTATTTAACGGGAGAAGCCTCATTAATATGCAATAAACTTTCGACTCACAACAAAAACGAACAAGAAAAACCTTATGGTCATGCTGTAGCAAGTAGATCTCGATTATAGAGTAAAAGAAATTATATAATTCTAAGTTATATAAAGAATACAACGAAATTCCATGGGGAATAGCATTTTTTACCTGAACTTAGTATAGACTTGATTCAAGGAAATGTTGAATGGTGCAAAAAAAGTCAATCAGATAGCAGTTCTAGAAATGCTGTAATTTGTACAGCGGAAGAAGTAAGAATTCCAGTGATATAAGGTCGTTCCTCCTATGACCGACTGATACCGACGCCATATTCAGTATGGAAAGTAATATGTCAAAATAAAAGGAAGAAGGAGAGTCGTATTCGTATTGCACTGGTGAAAGTCTGGATCAGTATCCTACCAGGATAAAAAGGTTCCTATTCTATCTCTGTCATAATGTCCTTACATTTTCACTCCCTCCCCTGGAAAGTCTGTCGAGGAAGGGCAGCAGTACCTCTTTGATAAGGAGTTTGGATAGTTTCCTTTTGGTACCGAAATTTGTTATTGTTACCTTTTCGATTCATTCTTCTTTAAAATTTATAATCGAATGTTAATAGTGCCGGTCCTATTTTAGCTTATAACCAAGAAAAAAAAATCTTACCGTTGCTTTATTTGATATTAATTGTTAAGTGGGCAATTTTAAATTACCTACACGTATCTTTTTGCTTCTAATTTGTGGACAAAAACATCTCTTTGCTCTGGTGCGTTTTTCCATAACTTCCCTCAGCTGTTTTCATCTGTTTTCGATAACTTACCTTAGCCGTTTTCATCTATTATCTGCCGTAACCACTTTTTACTGTCTGTCCTTTTTTTACATTGTCGATATCACTTCACCTTGGTGTAAGTAATGCCCTGTAAAACCGCCTCTGATCTTTTGCTTTTATTACCTTTGTTATTATTATTATTATTTCTTCTTTCCACTTACTTTTTCATTGACAATACCATTGGATATATTTGATTCAAATATTGGGTTAATTGGTTTTCTTTAACTTAAAAGTTTAACAAATTTAATCAAATCAGTTTTCTATTGATAATTTTTAATTTTTAATTCAAGATTGATGACAGTACTATAAATCTTGTTAGCTTTTAAGATTGCAATTTGTAAGCATAAATTAGTGCATAGTTTTTTTTTATATTGTTAATCCCAAGTCTCCTCACACATTTCAAATTGGATATTCTGAAAGCTACAGTCCGAGTGGCATAATCACACTCAATAAAGTGGACGTGGAAGCAGTCACTTGTACTAAGAATCTGATGACAACTTACACAATATAATTGACCATGTCCGCCAGGTCAACAGCCCCAGCTACCAGAAGTACTTAGGGCAACACCCAACAAGTAAACAGCGCTTTGCCTGGGAGGTTTGACTAATTGCGGGTTGTTTCATCAAAAATTTGTTATTAAATTTTGTTATTTTCGAAAAATTCGATCGCAACTGGTACAGAAATGATCAGCGTCGAAAAAAAAATTTTTTTTTTGTCTGTCCGTTCTCTGTTCTCGTCATTTGGTTTTTCCTGAATAACTTTCGAACTCTTGAAGCTACAAAATTGAAATGGGCCTCCTTTTTAACCCTCCACGAGATACATAACATCTTTATTTCGCGGTTTTCCGTCGCGATAGGTACTGTCTATTGGAAATGGAGTGCTGGGAGGTTGGGAAGTATTCTAAAAAAATTAAAAATTGCGTGTGCAAGGGTCTATAAAAAAGATCATTTTTCAAATACGGCTCCATAAACTTTTATTGTCGACAAAAATATGCAGGGTGCGTTGCAAATTCAAAAAAATTGAAAAATGGGTCCCCCTATTAATGAAAATTGGTTAGAACTGAAAGACTATGATTCAGATGTCACTTTCTTTTACACTGGTTAGACAGCTAGAACTTTTGTATTGAAGGTTTTCGCTTATTCGCTGTTAAATAAGAAACGTATTAAGTGTCCTAAATTCGCAGAAATCAACTTCGAATTTAGCAGACAAGTAAAGGTCCGTGTAAACATTTAAACATTAGAAATTGGATGCAATCAAATTTTACCAAGTATTTTTTAAAAAATTTTCCAGACAAATATGTTTTCCTCGATAATCGTTCACGCGATCGGCAAAATTCTTTCATCAGCAGACGCGGAAGATCCAATGCAATAACATTTATTTCAGGCATTTTTCCATAATATACAGATTTTTCAAGTTATAAGCAAGAATCTAAAAGACAGAAAATTATTCTTTTACAGAGTAAATTATTAACCGCAAATCAAAAATCGTAAAAAATATGACTAATCGGTTCAAACAGTGTCTTAGGCCGCATCAAGAGCTACAATTTTTGTATTTACGGTTTTCGTCTATCACACATGCTATTTCAAAAAATCCATATGAAAATCACTATTCCGGGGGCTGTCCAGAGGCGATGACGTCATTATTACTACAGCGCACTGCATGGTTTTAGAAAAAACTTATTTTCTCGAAAACCATTTTCTATTTTACAAAAATTCTTGCACCAGGAAATTCCACGTTTCCTGGTGCAAGGGGTATAACCTCAATTTCCGGATTTTTTTTCAAATATGCACAGGATGTGACGATTATGGGTAAAAAAATCTAAAACACTCTGAAAATAGCAGTTTTCGTGGATAAGTTATAGCCCATAAATGAAAAACTACAAAACATGGGATAATTTGGTTTAGACAGTCTCGAAAATTGAGTCGAGAGAGAGTTTCAGGTTTCGTTTATCATACAGGGTGCGCGAGATATTTGAAAAAAATTCATTTGAAATCGCTATTATTTGTGAAAGTCACTTTATACAGGGTGCATGCACAATAAAAATATATCGATTTTGCTAAACACTGCGTCTCTCTAGGAGAAGAAGTCGCGAAGTGGCTACTTTTTGAAATACAAAGCAGCTTCGCGTTACGCGCTACGGACTTGCCCCGCCCGGTGACGATTTTTCGAAAGCAATCTTATTATATTAATTTTCTTGTTTTTTCTCTCGTCCCTGGTTTGCCTTCATTAGTCACCGCGGTTAAAACAACGGCAACGTGGGTTTGTCCTTATAAAAGGACTGGCGTGTAACAAAATTAAAATCCCTAGCCAGGAAAATCCGAAGCATTCAAGGCACAGCCGAAAGGCACAGTTAAGATAAAATTCTTCCTCCGCAGTGCGAACAAGAGGTTTACACTTACAAGAAGAATACCCCCACTCTTACATTAGCGACGTCCCTTTTTTTTGACTTCGTGAGAGATTAAGGTGGCGGAAACGCACCCCTATCGCGCGCGCGGTGTCGGTCGGTGACAGGGCGCCGCGACGCCGATAAACGCAACGTCCGCGTCGCCGCTAGGTCGCATGATCATCGCGCGTAAAAAAAAGAATCGCGAAAGGAAAAGAAAAAACGGCTCCCCATTACGGTTCGTGTCGACACCCCATTCGATAAGGCACCGACCTCCGCGAAAGCATTACGATAAATCCACCGAAAATACACCATCCCCAAATTAACATATATTCAAATTTTGAGGTACGCGGACCGAGAAAGTGAACGAGCGAGACAGAGAGAACGTTCCCCGGTCAGAGATCGTAATCTCGCGGTTATGGTCGTGCACTACCACGACGACGACGACGACGACGACGCTGCGGCGCGCCACTGACCCAGGGGGCCTCCGCTACCACCCCCTGCGACACCCCTCCCACCCGGGGGTTATTTATGGCGTTCCTTGACCGACTACCTTATTGTTTGACTAACTATACCGTTTGTCACGGTTATCTACGGGTGTATCTCGCCTTTATCTCCTGTAAATTTAGTGTTTAAGCCGTTTAAAATGTTTATTATGGGTAAGGCGGGCACCCGGGAAGCGCTTTCGCCCGGACGCGAGGGGTGAGTTATTTTTTAAAACCGTCCGGCCCGACCTCTGGCGCCGTAAACGGAAAGGATAAGGGAACATTCCTTTAAACGCGTGTCTGCTACTACGCAAAGCAAGGTAAGATCGTACGGTGAAAGAATATTCATCCTTCTCTTCACCTGAAAGGATACTCTGATTGGAATCGATGTCTATGAAGATGATGTTGATACGCATGCCAGGCCTAGCAGCTGTATTAATGGCAGTGTTAATATGACTAGAAAAGTGAAGCCTTTCATGCAGTGGATCCAAGGAGAGCAAGCTTAATTTTATCAAATATTCCAGTGGCAGCAGCTTTTTAACATAGAAAGTAAAGTTTAAAAACAAGGACGAAGTTCATACTATTACACACTACGTCTTCTGCAAGATGCAAGGCATGCAATTGGAGAAGCAGTTGCTCAGCGTGCGGTCCATTCAATTAAACGCAATCATTGTTCGGTGCCCAGATATTGATGTTGATCTGACGTCCGCAGGGCAGCTGGAGATCGTCAAATCATTGAGCTAGTTGATAGAGACTGAGGGCTGAGAGTTAAGATCATAATTTTTTTTATACTTATAATTGCTTCTTATTAGTCTGAAATTATTCGTGGAATTCCTTAGAATAACTATGGAATTCTTTGGAATTCCTCTCGATGGAGCTTAAGGTACAGGGGAGACGTGACGCGCAATTAAAACACGCTCATCAATATAGTCTTTGTTAATTATTTCAATAAAGACAATCATAATAATCGTAATAATATCCTTCTATACATTCAACTATTTACAGAAAAACAGGAGATAGAAATCATTTACAACATTCGGGCTTCGAATAAAAAGCCAACAAAAATAATAATGTTAGTTCTCGTAATATTACACAATAGAAGTAATAATAATAATAATAATGATAAATCTTACAAGTTCACTGACGTCGGTAAAACTTTATACATAACAAATTCGTCTAACTGAACGCAACAATAATAATTGAAAATATTACATGGTGAAATCTGAAAAAACATCCGGCTAGTTAGGTATATTAGGTTTAAGAGGATCGTGAAGATTGTTCGAAACGAACGAAATGCTCCTACAAACGACAAACTCTGCGTGCGCAACTACTACCCGTTGTCGGCCAAAAAAAAAAACGAAAGCGCCCCTCCCCTCGTACGCACTGTGGTCGCGCCGCCGCCTCCGATGCATTTTGTTTTTTTTTCCTCGGTTTTGTTCAGTATCACAGATAAATTAAATGCATTTTACACAAACACGCAACAGTTTTTTTCGACGTGCGCAGATTTGATCTGCGCGCGCGCGCACTTGCAACGGCTATCACATCCGGTGACGTATATTGGTTTTGCACTTTGTCCCGTTATTGCTGCTGCTACATCTGAAAACGAAGAAAAGAACATTATTAAATTACAAGGTAAAAATTGAACTAAGATTCATATAATTTAATAAGGGGCTCCAAAGGTTTACTAGTCACCATTAAAATTAGCGACTTTGTTAAATCGAAATTTTTAAAAATATGTACAGACTGAGGTGTGCCATATGAAACAAATTAATTATATTGGGTTGTTCGGAAAGTCATTTCGTTTTTTTTGGGGAACATGAAAGACAGTTTTCGTATAATGAATAAATATTTTATTAAATTATATATTGGCCATTCTGGTCCAACACCTTTTGCCATCTTTCTGGCAGTAACATAATTCCCCTCTCAGAAAAGTTTTGGTCCTTGCTGCCAAAAAACTGGTTCAGGTGGTTTTTGACATCTTCATTTGAGGTAAAGGTTTTGCCATCCAAAAAATTTTGCAGGGACCGGAACAAATAGTAGTCGGAAGGCGCCAGATCTGGAGAATATGGTGGATGTTGCAGTACGTCCCATTCAAGCTGTAAAAGTTTTTGGCGAGTGACCAAACTTGTGTGAGGTCTCGCATTATCGTGGTGGAACACTACACCCTTCCTGTTGATTAATTCGGGCCTCTTCTCTTTAAGTGAATCATTCAATTTGTCCAGTTGATGACAATAGACTTCTGAACTAATCGTTGTATTGTCCGGCAAAAGCTCAAAAAAAAAACGATTCCTTTGACATCCCACCAAACGGAGAGCATCACCTTTTTTTTGGTGAATGTTGGCTTTTGACACGCTTTGAGCCGGTTCATCTTTTCTGCTCCATGACCTCTTGCGTTTAACATTGTTGTATACAACCCATTTTTCGTCCCCAGTAATAATCCGCTTCAAAAATGGATCATTTTCTTGACGTTTGAGGAGCGAATCACACACGTCAACGCGACGACACAAATTTCGCTCCGTAAGGACATGGGGCACCCACACATCGAGCTTCGAGGTTAAGCCCATGCCTTTCAAATGGCCATAAACAGTCGAATTCGACAAATTTAATCCCTCACCGATCTCTCGTGTGGTTATTCGCCGATTTGCATCAACTAATGCCTTTATCGCATCTTTGTCAGCTTCGACCGGCCTTCCGGACCGTGGTGCATCTTCGACATCAAAATTGCCGGATCGAAATTTTGCAAACCAGTTCTGGCACTGGCGTACTGTTAACACGCCTTCTCCATACACATCCGTCAATTTTTTTCTCGCTTGCACAGCATTTTTACCTTTTCTGAAGTAAAAAAGTAAAATATGACGAAAATGCTGCTTATTGCTCTCCATATTTAAAAGGGCACCAACCAAACACTACTGCGTAGAATTAATAGAACTTTTTCACACACAAGCCTTGCAATATCAGCTCTCAAGACATATAATGGTTATGCGGCTTAAGTGTGAAGTTGGTTTCGAAAAAACGTAATTAAGTCCTCTGGCGGGAAAAAACGAAATGACTTTCCGAACAACCTTATATATTGCTGCTGGAAGACTGGAAGTTCCTATTGTATAGCTGAAAATTTTTGTAGTGTCATTTTAACTGAGTTGAAACACTTCTAAACGCTGGCTAGTTAACAACTAAAAGATACTTATTTACAAATAAGTTAACATTAGCATTATCTATGGATCTTTTGTATATATCACGTTAATTTACCTGAAAGATTCGACACTCTTAGTTCATATATTCTTTGATTTTACGTATTTAGGGCACAAAGTGCAGTTCGGAACTTTCGGAAAAGTTTTCGTTGTTGTTGCTTATTTGTCTTTTCTATTCTACGTTTTGAGACATTTCAGTGAAGTGAGATAACGCAACAATATGTCGTGCGTTTCATGCAACTCCCAAAACTGTCGAGAGGGAATGGCTGAGATGCATTATATTAAGGTGTAACTAAAACAATCCAGTTGAACATTTTTTGTTTCGTTGTTTTAATAAGTGTTGTATAAAATTGAAAGACAAAAATTTTATATTTTGAAATATAGAACGTGGCATTACAAAAGAATATATATTTGTGTGTTATGATACTTCCGAGAAATATTTATATGACACAAATATTCCAAAGAACACGTATTTCGTATTACCTCTTACGGCTACTTTTTACTGAGTCGAACTTGCTGACGTTTCGCCAATCAACCTGTTGGCTTCTTCAGAGCTTGACTGAAACTGGCTCGAATTTTACTCTGTACCTGCTTAGAGTAAAGTGTGAGAAAGTTTCAGTCAAGTTCTGAAGAAACCAACAGGATGATTGGCGAAACGTCAGCAAGTTCGACTCAGCAAAAACCGACGCAGGAGGAATAAAGAAGTTTTGTGAAAAGTATTACAGTAGCCTCTGGAAATTTCTTTGAAAAATATCTTACGCCTTTTCATCTACAACTTTTACAATATCAAAAATGGAACTTAAGAACAGTTAAATGATTAGTAAAGCGCCTATTATTGAGAAAACTGATCCAAATATTGTCTAGGGAAACGCCCTAGAAGAAAGCAAAGCTGAAAAAAACAAAGTAGTCCTCATAACCCACAAAATAATAGATAGATAAATCTCGATAGAACTTTAATTTATTTAAATTATAATAATATACAATTTGGTATAAAAAATTTGGCTTGCATAAATGAATCTACATTAGATATTGTCTGTTAAATATGGACGGTAATTTCCTAGTACTGATCGGTAGCTGGATCGACAGTTTTGCATCTTTATAGGAAAAAGAACATATATTCAATAGAGACAGAATATAATTTTAACATTAAATTTCAAAAATTTTGTAGACACTGAGAATGACATTGCCTCTCGACGCTAAGCCTCGATAGGATCAAATTTCTTTAAGTTAAATCGAATGCAGGAGTTCTGGATTATCTGCAAACTTCTCCAATCCGATGCAAGACTGCAGGACAATAAACCGAACTGGAGTACACAAATGTCTTAATTGATAGTACTATTTTGGATCGCAGTGTTCAAAATATGTTCAAACGGTAAAATTAGACTTGGTCTAGCACTTCATCTAACACTTCATTAACCAACTGGTGAAGTTGTTGCAAATTATCGGGGTAATAAATATGTCACCGAGGCATATGTTCCCAGATAAGTGATTTTCCAACGATGTACCTTTTCTGGTCTTTCCCGTATATAAAACCGCATCGACCGCAGAACCCGTACAACAAATTACTGATGATAGATTAAATAAAAACTATTTACTTTGCTTGTTTCTTCGGTCGACTCGGATTTGGGTGTTTCGAGAACCGGATCGTTACGTCACCGGCAACCTCAATAGATAAAAGGATAAACGCGCGAGGTTAAAAATGGAAAAAGTCCATTTAGGCTGATGTCAAACGGAACGAATGACCGGCCGAGAGCGGTCTTGGCATCATTGTCGATATTAGATATTGAGGTTAATTTTTTAATTACGCCTGGCCCACCACTCGTAATTTGCAATTTATAGGTTAGCTTGTTACAGCAACGGTTTGTCCTTGGGGACCGAAATTGGCACAGAAATGAACAGCGTTGAAAAAAAACTTTTTGTATTTTTGTCTCTTTCCGTTCTCTGTCTTCTGTTTTCCGTTTCTCTGAAGACGCGGCATTAATTGCCCATAACTTTCGTTCGCTCCTATTAAACAGTCTATAGGACATATAAGTCAATAAAAAATGACCGCGGAACCATCTTTTTTTTTCGATTTTCGACTGTTCTTTGGACATCGTTATGAAACACGATAAATGTCCGAAGTTCTCGAAAACCATTTATGCCTTCAAAAAAAATGTGATAGAGAAGATCCGCGAGAGATGACGGCCTATAAATCTTTATTCTTCATAATTTTCAAAAATGTAAAAAGTGTGTCCGAGTATTCGCAAAAAAAACTGAAAATTGAGGTCCCCTTATAAAGGTAATTGACGATAACTAAAGGGCTGTGCTTCAGTTGTCAGTTTCTTTCGCATGATCAGGGACAGTTAAAACTTTTGTATTTAAAATTTTCACCTATTGTACAGGATGTTCAAGATATTCCGTGCTATATTAAGAAACGTAACAAGTGTCTTAAATTTGCAGTTATCCACTTCAAATTTAGCAAAGAGGTCCACACCCACATTTAAATTGTTGAAACTGGGCGCCATCAAGTATAGCGAAGTATTTTCTAAAAAATTTTGAATTTTTTTTTGGGTTATTTTGGTTCCCAGAAAAAAAATGTTTTCTCCAAAACTATTACCCCGGTAGGCAAAATTCTTTAACCGACACACGCGGACGATCTAGTGCTATAACATTTATTTCAAGAATTTTTTTGGATTATATACAGTGCTTTTCAATTATGGACAAAATCCTAAAAGATCCTGAAAATTGTCTTTTCCAGAGTAACTTATTAGACGTAAATCAAAATTCGTATAAAATAAAGCGAATTGGTATAAACAGTATTATAGGCCACATTGAGAGCTACAATTTTCATTACCGGTTTCCGTTTCAGTGTATGCGATCACTGTTGCTCGAGATATTTGAAAAAATCCATCTGAAAATCATTATTCCTAGGCCTCAGTCTAGACGCGATGATGTCATTGACCATTACGGCATACTGCATAGTTTCAGAAAAAAATACTTTCTGGAAAACCATGGAACGTGGGAGATCCAGGGGTGTGACTTTTATTTCGGGCATTTGTTTGGATAGTGTACAGGATGTTTCGATTATGGACAAAATATCAAAAAGATCACGAAAATTACATTTTTTCTGGGTAAATTATTACCCGTAAATGAAAAACTATAAAACATGGGATAATTTGGTTTAAACTTTATCGTAAATTCTGACGAGAGAGAGTTTCAGGTTTCATCTATCATATAGGGTGCGCGAAATATTTGAAAAAATATCATTGGAAATCGCTATTATTTGTAAAAAAAATAATATTTACCAAAATTTACCATAACTTTGAAGTTCGGCGAGACGTGAAAGACACTGTATAGAAACAATGCGTCTCTCTGGGACAAGAAACCGCGAAAGGCTTTCTTTTTAAAATTAAAAGCTGATTCGCGCCCAGCGACAATTTTTCGAAAGCTATCTTGTTTATACAAGCCTTTCTGGTTTTTCGAGGAATACATTTGTCCGTTGTCGTGCCAGTTTTTTTAATGCGTGATTTCGAGGAATACGATCGTTTGGACTTTTTCCAGAAATGTTCACCGTACATCGCAGATATTCGTTATTCGTGCAACATATTTTTCAGTCGTCGAGCAAATGTTTTCACGTACATTTCCGGGATTCAGTTCACAAGGGTTTAAAAATATTTCAGGCATTCATATGAGGAGTACGGCAGTTTCAACTTTTTTAAAAAAATATTTTTTGTACTCGTACAATAAATTCAGTTGAAAAATGTATTTTTTAAATGTCGAGTGAGCGCGTTTAATTAATATCCAGTTGGGAAACATATTTCGAGTTGTCGAGTAAACATATTTCAAAACTTCGTTTGAATATCGTTTGATCGTTTGGACTTTTATGGTCGTTTCGACTTTTTTTTAAACTATGCCGTGCAATACAGTTCTGATATTCGCTTGAAAAATATATTGCTCAATTGTCTAAGAAGTGTTTTTAATTACATTTTAGACATCCATATGGACAAAATTTAATGTATCATGGCATTTGTCAATATTAGCTTGAAGAATAGATATTTTAAATTACATTTCAGACAGTAGAGAAACCTGTTTCGATTAGGTTGAGGAATATGATCGTTTGAATTTGAACATATTTCGAGTTATCATGGAAACAGACTTAAATACATTTCAGATAATCGTATGAAAAATATCATCGATTGAACTTTTTCAAAAATATATTTTCCATCGTCCTGCAATAAATTTCAGATATTCGCTTGAAAAATATTCGTTCAATTGTCTAGCAAATGTTTTTAATTATTTACATTTTGGACATGCAGTTGAGGAATATATTTTGATTTATCATGGAAACAAATTTAAATAATTTCACATTCGGTTAACGACTGTGATCGTTTGAACTTTTCCAAAAATATATTTTCCGTTGCCGTGCAAGGAATTTCAGATATTCGCTTGAAAAATATAATGTTTGATTGTCTATCAAGTGAATGATATTACAAATACTCTGGCATCAACATATTCGAGTTATCATGGAAACAGATTTAAATACATTTCCGATAATCATTTGAAAAATATGATCGATTGAACTTGTTCAAAGATATATTTTCCATTGCCGGGCAGTAAATTTCGGATATTCGTTGGAACAATATTTGCTCAATTGTCTCTGTCTATCTGTTTTTAATAACATATCCAGTTGAGGAACAAATTTCGATTTATCATGGAAACAGACTTAAAAATACATTTCAGATAAATGAAAACTATGATCGATTGAACTTTTTGAAAAGTATATTTTCCATTGCCGTGCAATAACTTCACGTTCAGTTAAAGACTATGATCGTTTGTAATTTCCCAAAACTATGTTTTCCGTTACCGTGGAAGAAATTTCGGACTATCGCTCGAAAAATACATTGCTTCAAATATCTAATAATTGTTTTTAATTTTTTAATTTTTTTTTGAGTTATTACTATTGTTTTGAATTATCATTCGAACATAGTGAAATAAGTTTCAGACATTCGTTTCGAAGTATATGTTTGAAAATGAAAAATACATATTTTGTTGTCGTGCAGTAAATTTCAGATATTTGTTTAAAATATACATTAGTTCAGTTGCGAAACTTATTTTGCGGTATTAAAGAAAAAGGGATATTTCGATGAAGAAAAGATTCGGAATAACAACGTCGTAGGGTTAACAGCCGCAGTGTAAAGGTGCGAAATATCAGTCGACATCTTTACGAAAACAAAACGCACGCCCGGGCATCGTAGGTAATTTAAGAACGTTGGTATAGTAAGAGTTCGGCTTCGTTCGCCCACACTCCTCCCGCTTTGGGCCGCTCTGAATGAAAAACGCTATCGCCACCTTCAAGACATTGACAAATGAAACGAGATTTTGATCAGTGAATGGTCTCCGAGTGTGTCTTCCTCTCCCCCATCCCCCACCCTTCCGCACCACCGAGCGATTTACGGCACCACATTGGCGGCGGCGGTTTAAATTTTTCTCGTCGTAAAAGTAACGGCGTTTGATTTTCTTCTAAAACCGCCGTCGATTTTACGTTTTTTCCATTGGGAAATGTCGTGGTCCTGGTCGTATTTTAAGAGCGACCAAATGTTCAATGGCAGAGCCACTCCGACTTGGTCGAGTCCTTAGACAATCGCTTTCTCTACCCGTCTATGGGTTGTGTCGCAGTCAACGACACAAACCCGTCGCCCCGTCGTGAATTCATTGTTTTAAATCAATAACCCATTTCGAAGCAAGGCCCTTTCTACTATATATATCCTTTCATACATTCATCTCTAACTTATTGTTGTAGACGGGGGTGTCGCTTTCTGTCGCTCGGGGGGATCAATCGGGAGAATCGCGAGGCAAGGAAATTTAACCATCGCCATTTTTATTGGTGGCGAATAATTAAAAGCATTCTACACGATAAGAGTGGTAGTCGTTTTGACTAGTCAATTAAGAAGTGGCCAATGCTCGGTCAATTGACCGGCCAGTTAAGAATTGGTCAAATGACCACTTGTGTGTCAATTAACCATTTAATTGACCGGTCAATTGACCACGCTCAGTTGACCAGCCCCATGATGATCCAGAAATATGCAAGTGGAATTTGATTCATGAAAAAATTAGTTTTCTATTTATTCATTAGCCTACCAAAGTTTGATATGATAGAAGAAATGAGAGTGTATTTTATTTTCTAAAAAATTACCTCGACTGCAAATTAAACTCTGCCTAGGTAACGAACATTCCAGAGTAATTGTTATTTGATTTTACGTCGGAGTCTTTGACAATACTTTGTTTAAAAAGCCGTCGATGTTGGTTAGCTAGTCTTAGGTCCTTGCATATTTTGAAACAGAAACTTTTATCGCATCTGGATACTACAGAAACTAACAGATGTGCTAGAACTTGCAAGAGTGTTGAAAACCAGTTTCACACGACGTGTGTCACGCGACACGTAAGACGGTATTAATCATTACTTGATTTTCCACTTCAGTTAAGCCCGTTGGATTCATCAACAACTAGGAGGAATCCAGAAGATTTGTAAATAGTATATCTCTTTGTGATATTTTCAATAGGCGGTTGCGTCTGAGTGTAGGACAGATTATTAGAACGAATTTATAGGAGAAAAAAACTTGAATAAAAATTTATTTATTTTCTCTTTATGTTAAACTGCCGAAGGTTAAGGTTTACTTACATTCAGTAAATTACAGCAAGTCATTATCCACTTTTCATGTGGCACACTTTTAAATATTCTTTCACGTTGCATTACGTGGCAAAAACTATTAAAAAAACATCTTACCGTTTTATCAGCTGGAAATATTTCAAACGGGCGACACGTATCCTCCATTCAGACCCGGCGAGCTGCAACAAAACAACAAGAATGAAGAACGAGAGTCGAAATAGAAAAAGAGAGAGAACGGGAGGATTAGACAATAAGCGCGATAAGAATTAATTATGGGCAAGGCGAACGGCATCGGGTATATACACGGACCACACTTAATGAGGTTTGATGTAACAGTTTTTTTTTTGCTGTGATTGATTGGCACCGATACGTCCAATTCGAGTCGTGAGATAAACGCGTTTCGTCAGGTGTGACTTTGGTATTAACTCGCGTGGCCTTCGACATACCGGGTGTCTAAACGTACCTCTTGTAGAAGGGTTTGAACGCCGCGTTATCCGTCGAGGTGGCGGCCATCTGGCCGCCCTGGTTCTGTTGCTGCCTTTGAGGGCTTTGCATCCTTCCGAAACCACCCAGAAAACTGCCCGACGATTGGGAGTACGCTCCGTTAGAGTTGCCTATGCACGGGCCTCCCTGTCCGGGCACCAAGTTACCCGTAACCGTGGGTAGTTTCATGTTGGGCGGCGTCTGCGGAGGCGTGTCCGTCTGGACGTCGGGAAACCCTTGCTGGCAGTGGCTGGGGAGGAAGCCCCCGTTGTTCGAATACCTGTAATACCGAACCTCGGCTAGTACCTTTAGACTAAGTGCTACGGTCCGATAATCTTACCGTGAGCTAGGCAAGGCGAACCCGTTACTGCTGCCTAACCACTGCTGCGATGGCGGCGGTGGCGGCGGCGTTTTGCAGGCCGCCGTGTCCGCCAACGACCAGATTTTGGGCTTGGAGGGAGGAAGAGGTACGCCGCAATCCGAGGATTTCATCTCGGGTTTCATGTTGAACCCGTTGCCCAAGATGTGGTGCATGTTGGCACCAAGGATGTCATCCTTGCGATCCTCGTCCGTCATATCGTCGTCGTCGAGGTCTTTGTTGGACCTTTCCGACTTTATCCTGCCGTGTATATCTGGATGCGAAAGGAAAGAACCGGGTGAACGTATGAACAAATAAATGTCCGCAAAATGGGGGTGCCTTTAGTCGAAATTCGAACCCTCCCACACCCTTCGCGTCGAAATTTAGCCAAACAACTGCGTAACAATAAAGTCTCGGGTCCGTTTAAAGGGCCATTCGGCGATTTTATAATTGAATAAAGAGACCGAAACCCTCCTGAAGTAATTAAGGGTTATAGAGCCGGCGCGCGAACCGAGGGGGAGAGATCTTTATTTATTCTGCGAGGGTAAAACGCCGCATTAACTGCGGATCGGATTAGGGGGCGTTAAAAAGGAAAATGATATTTTATTAAGAGGTATATACATCGATAGGACGATGCCGCGTTTGATCCGCGCGAGGGTCTTTATTAGTTATAGGGAATGATAAGATTTGTCGGGGTGTCTGGTCGTCTATGTCTGATCTTATATATTTCATAACATTTTCTCATAACATGGGCGAAATATGAGAGTTTCTTAATATTGATGTTAGCAATGATTTCTTTATTTTTCTTCATTCTGTTCATGACTTCTATCCAACTTATCCTCAACATGCGCCTGTACATCCCCATTTCAGAAGTTTCCAGCTTTTTTAAGGTAGCCTCTGTGAGAGTCCAAGATTCTACTCCATACAGCAGGGTTGAGAACAAGTAACGTTGGCTCATTCTCATTCTGAGCTCAATTTTCGGTTCTGTGGACACGAACCACTTTCTTCATACATATGAACCTTGCTCTTGCTTGTTCAATTCTGGATTTTATTTTGTTTCCAGTGACTCTTGGTCATAACGTCAAGTTTACATTGGTCGATCCACAGTTCTATCTGTATATAACTTACAGTTTAAGAGCGTAACAGTTGCATCAATTCTTATTGTTTCTAGTGTTCGAATAATTTTTTCTTGTTGCACTCTGTCAAACGCTTTTTCGACGGCATATAGCACATAAATACATCGCAGTTCATATCTCGACATCTTTGAGTTAAAACTTGAATGCTGGACAGAGCCTCCCTTGTACCTAGAACCTTACAGAATCCGAACTGATCCGATTTTGGGGTGAATTCGTTGAGTATTATTTTCAGAAGCAATTTTAAAACATGACTCATCAGACTTATGGTGCGGTGATCATAGCAATTTCTAGCCTTCGCTGATTTAGGAATCGGGATAAACGTCGACTTCAACCAACCAACTTCCTAGGGTTGTAAAATTAGGAATTCATTGTCAAGTAAAATAAATTTTCGTTCTATTTGCCATTTATGGATTTTTATAGTCGAAACATGGACGATAGGCAAAACCAACTCAGTCAGGGTCTCCAATCAACATTTCTGATGTTAATTGTTTTTGTGTGTAAATAAATTATTCTATTCTATTCTATGTGGCAGAAATATCAGTTAGTAAATCGAGGGTATCACACGACAAAAGAAAGCAGGTATAAGTAAGGCGATTCCAGTAGAGGCAAGTAATGTCTATCACAACAGTATTTTCCGATATGTTGAAGCTACTGTAGGTTCCCCAGCTCTCGCAATATCAACAGACAAAACCAACTTGCAGAGTTTTCAACGAAATATATTCATATGATCATGGAGTCATGCAGAAGCGTTAGACAATTCAGCTAAAGTTGAAGCACAGAATATCAATTCCAATATTCCCAGGGTTTCAGTACCGACGGGTGATGAAAACGAGTCACTCCCATCGATAAAAGGAAGCAGGCGGTTGTTGCCATATTGACCATATCAATACTAAAGACCAAACCAATAGAGTCAACAAAGTTGATATATGTTCGAGGGGATTTTAGTTTCCCTGAGATCCCAGCTGAGTACAGAAATGTTATTAACGTCTCATGGATTGGACAGTCACCAGTGTGGGTCAAATATCAGCACGAAATATTAAAGAAGCGGATGCTATTGTTTTTTCTTAAACTTCCAACATATTGACAATATAATTAACTAAACTAACTACAACTAGATATCCTCAAAGTCTTTCTACTGTCTCCTACAACAAAGACTAGCATTAAAAGCGTCAATTACATGCATCTAACAGCGATTCAAAGAAAATCCCGTTAATAACCTAACAATTGTACGGCATTTACCTGGGCTCGAGTAAATTTATGTGACAAGCTAATTATCCGGTATCAGGTTCGGTTGCGCAAGAGGTCCGCATAATTAACGTTGACGCTTATTAAAATAATTAACTTCGTTAAGCACGTCAGAAATTAGGCAATTAGGCGAGGATATAAAGCTTCGGCGGAGATGCGCGCCGCGCCGCGGGAATATCGCAACCGCCGTGAAATTCCCGCGGGCTTAGATCCGGAGATCTCACCGACCATCCGCAATAACCAGGGTTGGAGGCAACTCACCTGCGTCTTCTCGCTTATCGTCGTCCTCTTTGTCTTTGTCGTCGCCGTCCGACACCAGGGCGTCGTCGTCGTCGTCGGTTTTATTTTTGGGCTCCCACGTCATTTTGTTCTCTTTTTTCAGCCGTCGTCTCGCGTTCGCGAACCACGTCGACACCTGCCGAATCACATATTCCAAATAAATCACCCATGAGGTGTCACTAATTACCATCGAATATAGAAGAGATAACAAAAAGATAAATTTCATCGCATTATTATAAAATAAAAACGATAAAATTCGATAAACGCACTCTCATTGGTCATAACGTCAGAGATCATTCCGCTAGCTAGCAGCCATATATTTTCATATATGTAATATTTGACTTTTACTCATATATGAATGATTATTTTTCGACAAGCAAATCTTAGCTGTCATTTTCTTAGTTTACTATTAGTTATTTGCGAAATTCCAAAAAATGAAGTGCTTGCTGAAATTGTAGACATAATAAATTAGCTCAAATTAGGCAAAACCATTTTTTTCCCGATTATCCGTCTAAAATAGCAAAAGATTTTTTTTCATACAAACTTGAATGTTGAAACAATTTCTATTTGTCTCTGAACTGCATTGTTAAGTAAGGCGTCTGCAAAGTTAGCTAGCTAGAAGGTTAGGAATAAAGAATGCGCTTGATTAGCGTTCCAGCAAATCATAGTTTTCATTTTCAGTGATTATTAGTGTTTTTGCATGTATTTGACTAGTTATTCTCTTACCTCTTACCTCAGTTTGTATTTTGTATTTAAACAATCAGAGACAAGAAAATCGCTTTACCTGACTTAGTTCTGTAAAAAATTGGAGCGTTTTGTTTAGAAACAAACCGCAGTTGCAAAATATTTTTGCTTATTTCGGCAGTTGATTTTAAGTGCAATAAATTCGAAAACCCAAAAAGAGAAAATTTACGAGGTTTTGTTCTTACACTTAACCACAGGAAACGGGAAAATTTTCAAGCATTTTTCTTTTGGAATTTACATGAATTATTATTATAATTATTATTATCAACAATGTATTTCATAACCAAAAGAAATCCTACTTGTTATGCAGCCATATTCTGAACGCACAACACAAACTGTAGTTGAAATTAATGAACTCGCTTTAGACTGGAATGGCAACGGAGTGATAGAAAAGCGAGGCAAATTTTCCAATAACGGGTGGACGTAAGGATTGTTGTCTTTCTCTTACTCATTTATATAAATGGCTACTTACCTTACCGATATATTCTTAAAGAAATTGTTTACATATTGTTATTTAGCGATGAAACAATATTTTCTTTAAATATTTTTATAAAATAAAATTTACATTAATCAAATCAATCAAAATTGAGAATCAAGCTCAAAACCTATGAAAGCTATAAAACAATTTCTTTATTAGAGTTGTTCGCCATTAGTAGAAAGGTGTAAGACAAATAAAACAGTATGTTTCACTCAAACTAAAATTTGCCCACTTAAAATGCACAAAGCCTTTGCAGTTGTTATCAACCATGATACTCTTGTCTCTAGACTAACGAAAAACATTCGATTTCGTCTCCGAAAGCTTACGGAAGACTTCTTGGGTATCTGGTGGACGCTGTACAATAAAGTAAAGTCTGTTCATAGATATAAGAAAGTGACTGATACAAATTAAGGAAATACCTGGGCAAGCTGTAAGAATGAAATATGGCCGAACCGGTCCGTACCTTGCTTAGAATTTAATTATTTGGGTTTTTTTTTATGTATGTATTTATGTTTAAATCTAAAATAAAATTACAAATTATTTTTATTACCTACATAAATTACTTAAAATTATGCACGTAATATATCAGTATCACTATCGCTCTCATCGCCTGTTCTAATTATTATTATTTCTATATTATTTGCAATATGGATATACGATTGTTCTGCTTTTTCTTTATGTTTAACAGAATTTGCCCAACTTTGTGGAGGGATGTTACAAACTTCGGTTTCTATAAGTTTGAGGACATTGGAGTTAACACGGAGAAAAACATTGTTACGACGAATGGCAGATTTAAGTTGGTACCAAACATGTTCAATGGGATTAAATATACAGTGGTAAGGTGGAAAGCCATAAAACTGTATGCCCTAGATTTTCTGCATAATTATCACAGACGTATTCTTTTTGTAGGTTCAAGCTTTGTAGAACCTCAATTAATTGCTTTTTGGTATAATCTTCGTGAAAGTAAATGTCGTTATTATACATGTAGTTTTGGATTGTTGCTTTTGTGTCACATGAGGAAGGGGTTTTAATCAACTGTCTACTGTGATAACTTGCATTGTCCATTACAATGACGCTATTAGGAGGAACGTTTGGAACTAGTTTGCTGCTTGCTTGCTGACATCACGTTCAATGAGAGTCAAATAAACATTGTTTATAACTTTCTTAGTCTCAATAGAATAGTGTTTTCTATATTTGGGCGGGAGCATCTCCTGAGATACACTAGACTCGCACATATTTTGCATAATTCGCACACGCTGTATTACACACGAAATAAGAATATTAAACAGAGGTAGGTATAAAATTATTTTCTATTACGATTCTACAATTTTACCTGAATTTAAATTCCGAAACTTTAGGTAATAATCTTGTTGCATTGTATATTAACGACCATCCTTGGATAATCCCATTCAAAAGCAATTGGTCACTTTGTTATATCTATAAACAGACCATACGCAACATCACATTCTTACCTGGGTAAGGGTCATTTTGGTGATGATGGCGAGCATGATCTTCTCCCCTTTGGTCGGGTACGGATTCTTTTTGTGTTCATTGAGCCACGCTTTGAGGGTGGCGGTCGACTCTCTGGTGGCGTTCTTCCGTCGCGCCGCCAGGTCGTACCCCGCACCGTACCTGCAACGATAAATCCCCCGTGAGCCTAATCGCGACCCCTATATGAGCAGATCAGCAATCGCCACGCGTTTCCTTTTGTTCGGCCGTTTACGAAAAACCGCGTGTTCCTTATTCGAGTTTTACGACGACGGCACACCGGGTGTCACGTAAAAGAAATAACGGGCCTCGCGGAAAGATTTATGCCGACCCTAAAAGAGCGGAAAATGCCTTTATTGCCGAAGGGACCAGGAAATTTACTTAGCACAACATCGATAACGTATAGCGCTCGCCGCGTGGGGGGAAGGAAAACAATGTTTCCGTGTAAGACGGCGTCATTTGAATACGAACGAAATTGACCTAATTAGGTAATAAACGTCAGAGCGCCGTGTTTATCTTGTTGTCCGTGTATTTTTTTTAACTCCCCCTTCGGCCAAGCGTTCGATCAGTTAAGCGAGTCGCACGCTCGCTGCATTGAGGCAGGGGCGTCGATGAGCTCCTTTCCGACTGGGCTTTAGCATTTGGTGAAGTGATTCATAGAGCTTTGTATATTCACACCATAACCCTGCATAGTCGTGGTGGGTTCTATTCTTTATGAGGTAAAGTGTCGGTGAACTGAAGCTCACTATCCGTCAGGGCGTTCCTTGGAGCTAATCTAGAGTCTAGTGCTATATTTTGACATTGAATATTATGCAGCTTATCATGTAAGCAGTTCATAAAAGCAATAAAGAATGGGAACATAAAGAATAGTCTGAGGACAATCGATGGGCTATACGATGTTTTATGAAATGCAGGAGTAACTTTCTGAACTATCATTTGCGACTACAGTGGAAGCAACTTTAACTAATAAAAACAATTAACTTGAGAAGAATGAATTGTGTCCTAAAAAGTATCAAATAGGAAGCTTTTCAATTTTTACAGTTCACATAGATATTTCTTGTAGAAAAACCTCCGAAGCTTGATTACTGATTGGTATCGAATACGATGAAGGCGAACGGGTAGACCTAGATTTTCACAGAAAGGAGTGCAATAGGTAATGGAACCTTTGAAGTCTACTCAAGTATTCCTTATTTAATAATAGAGTTTTCAAAACACGTTCGATTATTTTTTTTTTACATAGAGACTTCCACATCCTATTTACAAAACTTCTGAATGCCTCCTGCGTCGGTTGTTGTTGAGTGGAACTTGTTAACGTTTCGCCAATCATCCTGTTTGCTTCTCTAGAGTTCAAACTGGCTCGCATTTTACTCTGTAGCTGCTAATATATTGTTTGAGGGGGGCGGAGCTAAATGAGGGGCATAAACGTTGTCTCGGATGACTAATTCCCATATTCATGAAAGGTAAAGAACTGGGTCGCGGTTAAGATTGTATGGTTGCTTATACATTTCTATACAATCTACAATCATACAATCTTAACCGTGACTCAGTTCTTTACCTTTCACCAATATGCGAATCAGTCATCCGAGACGCTGTTTATGCCCCTCATTTAGCTCCGCCCTCTTCAAACAATATATAAGCAGGTACAGAGTAAAATAAAATAAAATAGTTTCATTCAAGCTCTGAAGGATGATTGGCGAAACGTCATCAAGTTCGACTCAACAATAAGCCAAGGGAAAATTAACTATTAAAAAGCATCGTTTAGTTTGATTAATCAATATTGATCAAATCAAAATGTAAGTTTAAAACAATTTACAATATTCACATCATATTTACCACAGTAATTCTTTCAGAGTTTTATGGCAAATTGTTTAGAACATCATTTTTATTAAAATTTAAAAATTGTTTCAGACCGCTTCACAAAAAAAAAGACCAAAACATTTTTGGTAGTTGATTTAAATTAAAATGAAATGAAATGAAAAACCACAGTTTCTTAAATGCAGAGGAAGCGAGACTATATGGAATTCACTTGTGAATACAACCACAAGATAAAAAGCACTCAATGATTCACGTGAAATACCTCTATTCAAGAACAAGATCTGGCAGCGGAAAAGTCTGAAGCCAAGAGGAGATTTTAAAAGCCACGCGTAGTGCGAAACGAACGAATACGATTCCGAAGCGGAACCGAATTCTGCCGACAGCGTCGCACCTGCGATTGTTCTCAACGCGCCGCGACGCTCCAATCAATAGCGGCGTCGCGTTCGGCCATTTTGTCTCGAAGCCATTCAGACGCTCGCTGCCTGGCGCTGACCGCGGGCTGAGGCACACGCGCGTTCCGCGATTTCAATTCGACGTCCGACATTCCCGAATTTATCCAAAGGGTTCAGGTCAAGCGAGCGAGGAGATCGATCTCGGCACACAGCAATCGGGTTTTTGCCCGACATCCCTTACTACTGACCCCGTATCAAATTCGGTACGGACGGGGAAAAAATGAAACAGCCGCAAGAGCATCCCCCCGATTAAACCATCAATCTTTCGCCCTTTATAAACGACTTAAATGGTTTAGGAAACGTCCGCCCAGCCGGTCGAGTCAGCGGAAACCGTATACGGAACAGCGTGGAAATCGAAGGGAAAACCCCGATTTTTTCTCCGATTTTTATTGACTCCGCAGTAGACGCCTTTCCCCTGTCTATTCGTTTTCGCTGGAAAAGTAGCGAGTTTAATAGGGGTGAAACCACTCTAACCGTAATCAAATCCCCCTCTTGCGTCCTGGCAGGACGGCGGCGGGGAAGAACGATACGTTTTCGATACGACGAAGGTTCTGGCCGGAATAATTGACTCGTCGAGATTCGGTGAATTAAAAAACTCCGGTTTTTTGGAGGGTTGGAGGAGTAAGGGAAAGGGAGTTATAGTGTTTTAGCTAAGAGTTGTCGGTTTGAAGACACCAGATGGTATAAGCTCTTTTTTGGTATTTAAAAATAAGAACTGTCAGTCAACTGTGGAAGTGTCATGCTATATGAAGCACGAAGTGGTTGACAGGTCAATAGCAGGTGTCAGCCGAAACTAAAAGATCTACAAGTTGATAGTAGGTATTATACCAAAAAACATTATATATTTATACCACGCCACCACAATCACATGAAAATAGCATAACTCCAAAAATCCAAATTTTAAAGTAGTACTAACACTAAAGTATCCAAATTGATATGAGCGAAGCTTTGGATATGAAAGATGGAACCATTCCCTTCTGACCAGACAACGGTTAAAAACAGAATAAAATGAGGATTGTCTTTTCTTTGAGACAAGACACTTAAGATTTTTTAGACATTCATCAGCTGGAAATAAACTTAGAAACTTAGACAACTTAGGCAATGTTAGTCTACATGGATAATGGATGGAATATAGCCTATTATTGGGCAATTTGAACTCTTTGAAACCGTATGCTAATCTGATGAGCAGAATATTTGGGCTACAGAGACGAGCTATAAGAATTAACAAGATTGGAATATAGAGACGATTGCTACACCGCTAGATCGCTGGGAGCGATGTGATATAATATGTGTTTACATACTCGAAACTATGTTGTTTGTTAAAAAGAATACAAAGAGACCTTTATTGATCCCAAAGCGTTGTCGAAGTGGTCCAGCAGTTTATATTGGCATAAAGCTATTGCAGTTTGAAAGCTATAAAATTGTTTTCCAACATCTTTGGTGTGCTTCGTAGCATTCAAGATTTCAAATTGTGTTAGTAATAAAATAATACGTTTAAATTGGTTTAATATGTTTTTATAGACGTTATGTACGTTCTTTATTATGACTGGTATATGGTGTGACGTGACAATACGCGTATGCTAACAACAACAAAGAGAGTGAAATTGAAGCGAACCTCGGTGGTACTATGTACTATTAACTATTTGATAAGAAACGGAAACCCAAAACTTGCTCAATCCTTGCCAGTTTGGTATTTGGGGTCAAAAGCAGGGGAGGTTTGTCTTTTAACACTCCCGTCGTTCGGTAGGTGGCAGCACCGACATCGTCCGCCAATTCCCATTAGCAACCGACTCCAGACTCGACTCGTACGCCCCCGTTCCGCCCCCGTATAGAGATCCAGGAGACGCGCGGGCAGAGAAAAAACCCCGCTCCGTTTCCATGAATAAATAACGTACGTTCCGCGCGAGGAACGCGAACGCTGCATTACAGCCCCGAATAAAAGTTCTACATTCTCTAATGAGGTGCTTAACAACAATGATATCCCTGTTCGCGTCAGCTCTTTCGCCGCCTCTTAAAATACGAAACCCGCTAAATATTTATCGCTTATCTCATACCTTATTCAGCGGAACGCCGTTGGGAACTTGTCGGATTATGTGTCTGCGCGACATTCGCCAACAGCGCAACAACGCGCCCGCGGCAGATTGTTTCAGTCAATTATTAGACCCGGCCATTGTTTTTTTCTTTTTCTCGCCCGTCGGATCTCTTATCGGTGGGAACTTCTTTCGAAAACGCGTCGGTGGTTATTATTTTTTTTAGCCCAGTGCATCCGTTGACGGACGTCAATGCATCATCGCCTCAAGATAGAACTTTACTTCAGACTCTAACTATCTTGGTACCGTAACTCCAGAAGTATATTAGAGTAAAAACCACTATGTCGAACCTAAACGCAATGGTTAGATGCAAGTTAAAGGGACTAAAATCACACTTGGAGGATTTGTCCTCCTATAGGAACCGTAGAGGTCCCATTAGCCTCAGGCTCAGAGTTAGTACAGTGATGAGTAGCAGCATTTGCAACTGGGACTGGGACTGGGAAACATTTATATTAATACGGAATATCTCTTGGAAGTAGATTGCCCACGCATCAGGCTGAACAAGGTCATAGTCAAGTTTAACATCTGAATAGCAGAGGAATGAAAAGATAACAGTGTTATATAACTTCAAGGCGCCCTTGTATGGGTGTTAATTCTCGACTCTGGAACCTAAGAATTCGAAGGAACGAATAAGGGCGCATTATAAGAAGCATATACGAACCACTGAGGTTAAGAACTATGGGGGAAAAGTTTAATTTAAAGAAGTCTTAACTTTTAATCTGAATCGACAGGAGAAGACATGAACTTAGCGCACATCGTGAGGGGCAGCATGTACGAACCACTAAGACTGAGAATTGAAGGGAAAGTTTGAAAGAACTGTTAAGTGATACGCCTTAATTACTTGATCGAGTAAAGAAAAACCCATTAAACGAACATCATCACGTCTAATATCTAAATTGAGTGCATACCGAGTACCGTTTAAATATCTCCGAATCTGCTAAAACTGGAAAGATAAAATTCAATACAATTCTGGTAATCTTTCACTGATACAATTCTCAAGTTCATGTTGGCATTTATGAATGCTGCATGGATATATTAAGCCTAGCCGTAGAAAGGAAAAGTTTCATTGAAACATGTCAGAACTCTTAAATGGTTCGAGAGAAAGAGGAGTCATAATTCAGGTTCCTTGATAATACAAAAATGTCGTTGGTGGTGGTAACGTAAATAAATCAATTAAGAGGAGAACCATTCAATGGTCACATTATGGAAGTGGTATTAGAGATCTTAGGATACTCTTGTCTAAAGTGTTTTTTTATGTTTTTTTTTTTTAATTTGCGATTATCAATTCCAATTCCTATCAATAAAACGTTTTCCATTTTAGTCAATAATCAACCAAATTATTGACGGAGGGCGAGCTTATCTAATCGATAACTTACCCGTAGGCCGCTAGGGTGGGATCGTACGGGTAATACCCGGTGGTCGGTTGGAGACCGGCGCTGGTCCACGCGGACATGTCCGTCGCGCCGCTGGCATCTTTCAAACTGTAGGGATTGCTCTGCAAAACAAAAGACTAACGTCACCGATGGGACACGGCTATCGATACGGCTGTCGGTTGACGGTCTCGCCAAATTTATGCGCGGAATCAAATCTAAATTAATCGACGCGATCAGATAAAGCGGTCATTTGTTTCCGATACGGGCCCAAATACCTGTTTAAAGAGGTTCCAAACGGCCTTTAGTTTTAATTTTATCGAGGCAATAAAAGTATCGTCGCGTACTTTACGGCCTCGTTGAGTTTGTTTTGAAATTCTATTGCCCGGGTCCGGGTTTATTGATGGTTTATGGGTGGGCGTCGTCTGTACCATAAAAATTTTAATTCGCCGGTTGAAAAGCGGTGGAGGCGCAGAACGAGGTCGACAAGGGAGAATTAGGGTAGTAGGGATTTAATCTGGTCTCCCAACATAGCCTTCTCTTCTTCAAATGCCAATTCTTTTGATCGGTTATCTTCTGCAGTCAGAAGATAGAAGTTTTTGATCGGCGTATAGAGAAAGGGAAGATGATTATCGGCAGCCTTCTTAACGAAGAGTGAAATAGTGTCTCAGGCTTTAAAGAAGCTTTTTATTTAGAGAGAAAGAAGCTGAAGAGTGATACATTGTATGTAAATGTTACAGGAGCTTTTCTCCTGCTCTTTCCTCTGTCGTGGAGAGAGAAGTAATGCCTTCTTTCTTCTAACAAGTATAGGAGCTGATCATGGGCAACCTTTTTAGTACGAAATAGTTTTTGTATGGTATATAGTGAGTATATAGATAGCCGGTCTAACGGAGAAGATATGAACCAGCAGGCTGGGTGGAGGTTGGAGTCAGAATTCATCACACTCCCCAAAAAAGCAAGTGCGAAAACTTGTGGTGATTTTAGAATAATAAGCTTAATGAGTCATTTCTTAAAGTTATTTCTTAAGATACACAAAAGAATATATAGGCTTTGTGAAGAACAGATTGCACCAAATCAATTGGAATTTGTGAATGCCGTTGACACAAGAGAGGCTATTTAGTGTTCAACTGCTTTTTCAGAGATGCAGCTGTGATGTGTTTGCTTGCTTTATAGACTATCAGAAAGCATTTGACCGAGTCCAACATGATAAAATGGTCGACATACTAAAGAAGATAGGAAAGAATCCTAAAGATTTAAACATAATTATAAATTTGTATTGGAACCAGACGGCAGTTTCAAGAGTTGACGGCGGGCACACAGAACAAATAAAAATTTTGCGAGGGGTAAGGCGGGGATGTATTCTATCCCCTATCTTATTTAACGTGTACTCAGAATACATCTTTAGAGAGGCACTTCACAGTATCCAAGAAGGAATAACCATAACTGGTGCTAAACTAAATAACATAAGGTACGCAGATGACACTATAATGTTTGCAGATAGTCTTCAAGGACTACAAAATCTAATGGATAGGGTGACTGAGGCTAGCTCACAGTACGGGTTGGAAACGAATATAAACAAAACCAAACTCCTTGTAGTAAGTAAAAGAGGCATCATGGAAGACAATTTATAGATCAACCAGAGTAGAATACAAAGAATAAAGAAGCACACATACTTGGGGAGAACCATAAACGAGAACTGGGACAACTCTCAAGAAATACGATGTCGCATCGAGAAGGCCCGCTCAGTACTTATTAAAATGAGCTCGCTTTTTAAGAGTCACAATCTTTCCTTACACATGAAATTCAGACTATTGCGTTGCTAAGTCTTCTCCGTCCTTCTGTATGGCGTAGAAACTTCGACAATCACTAAGGTAACCACCAAGAAATTGGAAGCATTTATTCGAACTATGGCTGGGCAGGAGAATATTGAAAATATCTTGGACATAAAAAATTACCAACATAGAAGTATCTCGGTCACATAATGAGGAACCTAGATAGATATGGGTCTAACAACAAATCCTCCAAGGCAAAATTAACAGTAAGAGAGCACCGTGTCGAAGGAGAATATCTTGGTTAGCAAACCTTATAACGTCGTTGAACAAATCATCTGCAGAACTTTTCCAAATGCTGATCGCCAAAATCCGGAACGGATAGGCACTTGGAGAAGAAGAAGAGTGTGCCCTGAAAGAAGTTTTTTCTTCATCTTCTTACTTTTAATGCGTATAATATGGACGATCTGACCAAAGATGCGTTGGATAGCAAGCTGGTATCTCAACTTATCATTCTTTTCTTGGGATACTATCATGTGCTTTAGGGTGGCTTCTTCTTGTTCTTATACAGATAATAAGCAACCTTTTTAAGGCATGGACCGCCCTTAGAGGCGCCTCCGCTTCATCATGTTGTTCCTTTTGTTGGGTATAAAGAGGAGTAAAGCAGACAACGACTCTTTAACGAAGAGGGAAATAGTGTCTGTGCATTCACCTCCTTTCTTCTGATCGGTATACGGAGAGGGAGAAGCAGTGTCTGTGCCTTTAGAGGTCCTCTTCTAAAAACAATAATTAACGTTGGTAACATAGTCTTCTCGTCTCAGGATATCATATGTATGTTATATATAGAGCTTGTTAGGATAGAGAAATAGTGTTCCATATATGAAGGAGCTACGGTTTCGTATTCTCCGAATATTGTTAGAATATATTTAGAGAAGTCGAGATCTGCATCACAATAATGGAGCTTGCTTGCATCAAAACACATGGATTGTCGAGAAGTTTAAAACGGCACAAGACGTTAAGAAAGCATTCGATCTCGTGCACCGCTTAAACAATATAATAAATAATGTATATGGAGACGTACAAAATGCCACAGCGAATTCCGTGTCGCTTAAAATACGCTCAAAGAAATAAAACGGGCGCGAAAGATAACACTCGAAGAAAGTTTATGTCACGTTCGTCGGGGCACACTGCCGGTAACATTTCCTGTGCGACGCACGTAAAACTAAAGTCGAAAACAAAAATGGCGAAGGGGTTTGCCGTTTCGCGAAGAAGATTTCAGCGAATAGTGTCGAAAGATCTGGACACGGTTTTTTTCGCGATACATTGACACGGCGCATGTTTATTCATTTTTATTGAAAAACTTTACAAATCTCAGAAGAATCAGTAATTACATTCAAAGTCGAAAGGTATACAGAAATGTAAATGAAAAGAGATCTTTTGACTGTTTTAATGTTACACCTGAAAATCATTCAGCGCTTTATTTGCTTCCGCCATGATTGAAGAGTGACACACTCCCTAAGTCGGTGCGATATAAATTTCGATTTTGTGGTCTTAAAATTATCTTTGGTACATTTGAGAAGACATAGTCCAATCTTAGATTATTAAATATATAATATATAACTTTCAATTTCATTGCTTCGAGCAGCAACCAAACTGTATTTTAAAACTTTTACAATTTATAATCATAAACCCAAATAATTTTACTGCCTTCAACATAGTCCAACTTCATGTTGGACTATGTTGGTTTTTTGGTAAAAGTTACAACCACATTTTCTGATATTTTATTATTTTGAAATCAGTTATCAATATTGATTACGTCAGCGTGTCGTTATGTGAGGGATAATATTCGACATTTAAAGCCATTTGAAAATTTCGTTCATTTCATAATTTCGTTTTAGTCGTTCTTTTAAATGTCTTTAGACTTGTCCAATTAATCTTTTTAAGTGAGTGCACTGTATAATATGGCTACTAAATGAAGAAAGCAAGTAAAATTAATAAAATATATCATTTTTGGGATATACAAGTTGTCGTTATTGAAAAATCATTATAAAAATTAAAATAAATGAAATTGATGTTATAAAGATTCAAAACATATAGCTACTAGAGATATGAAGGCCATAAGAGTCCTATGTCGATACTACAAAACTTATGAAGCGACTATGAAAAAAAAAATTGAGAAGGTCCATACAACATGCGCATGCGCTATATTTAAAATCTCGTTTTTAACAAACGAACTTGAAGCATTCAACAACTAAGATGGCCACTAACAGGTCACCAATGAGTTTGGGTGGGGCATTTTTGCGGCAGTATTTTCTTAAAATACGCCTAGTTACGAGTTAAGTGTGTGAAAATCGCTGATTAGAAAGAAAATGACGCAAAGAGCAGGTTAGTGAGTGAAGGAAAGTATGGAAAATCATTACCTTCTCTCCGAAAATTTCATTTTCGCCTGCGACGTATCAATTTCCGCCACAGTATATCTAATACCTATAAGATTCAAAACAAGTATTGTAAAGGAGCGTAGGTATAAAAATGAATCCTAACAAAATGTTTTATTATTTTTTTAAAGTAAACAATATCTACTTGAAGTTTTCAAATTACATTTGACTAGTATGAATCACTTCTAATAAAACTTCGGTTTTAAGGTTTTAAAAGAGTAGTTTTTGCATCACAACGTTCTATTTCAAATCTAAATACTTCAAATGCGAGAGATAACTTCGAGCGTCTCTAAATACGTCACTGTCAACAAGTTTGATTAATGATTAAATAGGGACGAACTTCTTCCCAAAAAACCTATGTTATAGTTACAATGAAAACGCCTATTTGCTAATATTCACGCGCGGAAGATAAGATACGGCGAGGTATTTGGGCAGATAACGTTGCTTTAAACAAAAAAATAATAATAAACGCGGACCCCTCGATTCGCGCGCCAATGGCACCGCCTTAAAATAATGGATGAAGCAACTAATTATTTTCTCGGCAAAGGCGGCTGCGAACCGTTAAAATACAAAAGAACAATCGACGGTATGCGGGTACCCCGCATACCTAAAGCTCACCGGAATTTAAAATATGAATATTTGGCGGTAGTTGGTCGGTACAAGTTTTTGCCCCGTGTCGAATTTGCGTCTTACATTGTAAACGTGCAAGTGTTCCGCGAGGCTCCATGCGCGACCCACTTTTCACCACTTTTATTTTACCAATCGCACTTTTTGTAATCTCGGAGTTTTGTTACCTCGCAGGCACGTGTGGTTCCTCAAATTAAGGTTTCTAGAAATATCATCAAACGTAAATGATAAGAATGAGGAACAAATGAAGAAACTTTATGTTGAATATGTGGTGTAGAATTTTGCACACTGACT